CGATTTGAACAGACTCTTGAGAGAGTATTGTGCATCCTTTTGTGGGAGAATTGTGAGAGCTTTAGATAGCTTTGTTTTAGGGTTTTGAGTGATTTTGTAACCCTATTTGTATATCTCTTCATCTCTAATAGTAAGAACTCCCCCCTCCTTGCCCCGTGGACGTAGGCAACATGCCGAACCACGTAAATTCGTTGTCTTGTTGTGATTTGTGATTTATGCTTTTGTTTGGTTGCGATCTTTCTTGTTGTCTTGTCGTGCACTATTTGGCTTTCGAGTTTCGCTGTGCACAACAATTTAATCATATGTTTGAGTATACAATATTATGGAACATATAATGATGTATGATGAATTTCTTTTGGAAAATCACAAAAGGATGGATGAAGAAACAAATGGAAAAATATGGCTAAAATTTATTTCAATACTGGAATTTTGATTTAATATTAATTTGCTTCCAGGATATATTTTACTAGGGTATACATTAAAAAAATCAAAAAAGCTAAAAACTCATCAGAGGATGCCACCTCATCCTCCTCCCTCTTTAATTTTTTTAACACGTGTCATATCATCTAATCCGTCCACAACGTAACACATCGGCTTTTCCTTTGTAAATTTTTTGCCATGTGTGCATTAATCTCCACCATCGATCAACTTCTAAATTTAAAAAGAAAATCAACTTTAAATTTACACCATCCATTTTAAATAGGGGAAATTGCTTCTAGTCCCCAATATCCTTACAAGTATTCCACCCCCCCCCCCCAAGACTTTTTCAACACTCCCCCCCCCCCCCCAAGACTTTTTCAACACTCCCAAAAATCCCAAAAGCAAAGCCACATATCTCTGAACCCCCAAAACACAAAACCCAAGAGTTTAAAATATGTGAAGACCATAATACCTAAGAGTTTAAATTTTCATATATCAACCATGAATTTGGGTTTAAGAAATTTTTTAAAGAAGAACTGATTGTGCTAGGACAGACTTTCATTAATAAGGAACCTAAGCTTAAATTTAAGGATCAGAAATTTAAAATGCATAACACCATTGATACCTATCTTCAATTGCTACATAAATTACTGAAAACTACGGAGTTTAAGAGTTTAAGCACATTTTTGAGTATATCTTTCTAGATTTCTTTAAAATCCGAGGAAGAATTTTCAGTAATAAGATAGGATTTAATGTAGAGTATGAGCTTTTTATGTTTAATCCTTTATTCTACATTTTATTTTTTGTCTCATAATAATAAAAATAATAAAAAGAATTTATTCTTTTCTCATTTGAGAGTTTCTTAATCTTTAAAAAAAGTAGAAAAAGAAAAGAAGAAAAAATATGAGAAAAAACATATGAAAAAATTAAAAAATATATGAAAACAATTCTGGAAAAATTGATGAAAAAAAAGAGAAGAAAAATTTAACTTCATCCTCCTCATACCAAAGGTAATTGAAGATTTTTATCAATCCATTAATGTTTTAGGTCGACTGAACAAATGTAAGTGCTTCATTTCTTATCTACTTTATTTAGTGTATTATAGAGCTTGTAATGAGGGCATTGCAAAATTTAGATATGGAGGTATTTGGGAATCAGTTACTTTTTTCTTTTCTTTTAGTTTTTTCTTTTATTTTTCTTTATTTCTTTATTTTTCCTTTTGTTTTTCTTAGTTTTTAGTTAGCATTGGAAAAAAGAAAGTAAAAATTAAATTGCCATTTTGATCGAGTGAATGCATAATTGATATATTTGATAAACATTAAAATTTCTAAGTCTTAGTTAGTTTTAGACTCAAGTTTACCTTTTATGATAACTCTAAATACATTTATTAAGAAATAAGTTTCAAAGTGGTATACTTCATTAAAGTCTAATTTAGACTTGTAATTAAAATAATATTTTTTTGCATATTTAACTTAAAGTAGAAAATAATTTTTTGATCTAAATATTTTTTTCAAGATATATATACATATACACATATATATTAGAAAAAACTAACTTTACAAAAAGAAAAGTACTAAAAATGAGCACCAATAAAAATTCTCTTGAAATTCAAGGTGGTTCTATCTTACTAAACCTAAGTTGATCAAGTAATTAAGACCAACGAATATTTCCATGCTTAATGACTAAGCCCAATTGGGTTGGGATCCATAGACCCAAAACTCGTTAAATGGTCACTTAGAAAGCCCGATAAAGTAGAACAAAATCACTAAGGAATAAAGAGTGAAAATAAATACTAACAATGTTATATATATATAGTTATATTTGTATATATGTTCTTGAAAAATAATTTCGATTTAAAAACTTGAAAATTGTTTAAAACAAAGAGTTAACATGTTCTTTTTAAAACTTTTAATTAAATTTCTAAGTTAGACTTGATTTAGTATAACTATAATGAAATAATTTTCTAAGAAATTTACTTTGGAGTTATACATAAAAATGTTTTCTTGAATAAAAACTAGCTACAATTAGATTGTTTAAAGGCATCAAGTAAATTAATTATTCACTAACTTCTTTCAATTGGCAAGATAAATCGAATTTTGTGGGTATATTAACTGTAAACCCTTACGTGACTACAACTCGTCCTCTAGGGTAACCTAGGGGTTTAAAGGCTTGTTGTATATGCTAAATACAACCGAGATTCTTGCAAAAGTAAGTTAATATTTTTTCTTTCACTTTTAATTTCTCTCTTTGTTAGAAGACTAGCAAAAGTTTAAATGTGGGGATATTTGATAATCACATTTTTATTATACTTTACACCCTCATTATCTATTTTCTTCAAATAAAAATATCACTAATAAACATGTTTTAATTTCCATATTTTTAATATTTTATTGAAGCCCGGGATCATGCCAAGCAATCAACAGAAGTCGAAATAACAAGGATTCAACATGAAAAGAAATCAAGCCAAAATCATGTTCAAGATTATTAGCCACAAAGAAACGATGATATCTCTCAATCCGAAAGGCGAAATTTAATATATAATATATAAAAATCACCTATCTCGATGATACAGATCTAACTGCATTTTTAGAATTTTAAAATTCTAATCGGTTGGTCAAATGATCGATCAATCAATTGACCGACTAATAGGTTTGTAACAAACTTGTTTTATGGTTAAGATTTAATCCTTGGAGCCCAAGTAAAATCTAACGGTTGTTGTTGCTAGTTGTAGGTTATAAATAGAGGTAGAGGGTGAGCAGTTTGAGTATGAACAATTTTATAATAACTCTATTTGGTGAGGAGAGTTACTCTGAATTGAGAAGACCTTCCAAAAATTATAACTTTATTGCAATTAATAAAAAAATTTACCTCTTCATATTTTTCTTTTCTTCCCTTTGTTTGATGATGAAGATCAAGATTAATGTTTGATTTCAAGAGGCTAGAACCCACTTGCAAAGTAAAATTTCTCTTTTACCTTTTATTATATTGTAATATTTTTTTTCTTATTTTAGATATTCAAGGGGCTAGATCCTCTTGTTTTAGATTTATTTTAATGCCTTGTAGAGTAGATTTACTTTCATGACTTTATTTTCTTGTATTTCATAGTATAGATTTATTTTCTTACATAGTTTAGATTTTATTTTCTTGCATCATTCTCCAAGAGGTTAGAACCCTCTCGGAAATTAGTTTTTATTTTCATTCTTTTTCTTTCATTCTCTAAGAGGTTAGAACCCTCTTGGGAATTAGTTTTTATTTTAATTCTCTTTATTTTATTCTCTCTAGTATAGTTTTTATTTCTTTGTTTTTATTTCTAAGATGTGGAACTAATTCTTATAGAAATTCTATAATTGTATGAAACTAGTTTGCTTTCTTTTATAATTTGTGAATTATTCTCTTGTGCTTAAAATGATCATGCTTAGGATAATCAACTAGAGAACTAATTGGTAAAAGAAGAATTTGATAATCTATGCTTATCTTCAGTGTTTTAATAGGTTATACTTATGAATTCTAGAATTACTATCTAGTTGTTCTTTTCATGAATATTAATTTTACTTGGATGATAATTTGATAGGTCATGCTTTCCTTAAGTGGTTTGATAGTCTACGCTTAATAAATATAAAGTAAAATATGATAAGAAGAGAATAGTTCATAATTTATAAGTGGAATTAGCTAGTTGATTCAATTCTAGATTCTTCATATCTCTAATTGAGTCCTCTATATTTCATTTTCTTGAATTTTCTGTTTATTCTTGACTTTTCTCTTATTTCTTTCTTGATTTTAGTTTCCTTTATTTTCTTCATCTTTCTTTCTCCGCTCTCAATCTAGTTCTGTTTTTATTTACATGTAGTCATATCCAATATCTTTATGTCTCCACAATCACATTCTCTCATCACTCCCAAATTGTCACACACACAACTGAAGAATCAATTTTGATTAATTCTTACAACACCTTTTTCGTGGGATTTGATAATCTTTTATACTATAACTTGATAGTTGTGCGCTTGCAACTTTGGTTACTATTTATTATCCTATCATCTTGGTAGCCATTCATCCAAGGTTGAGACCAAATCCTATTTTTCTCGTTGTCCCCCATCAATATAACTATTCAAAAAATAGTATAAATAACTCTAAATAAATTAGGATGAATGTTATAATCGCCATCTGTTACATCATAAGATTGCATAAATCGCACCAAACACCTATAACATTTGTGGAAAACACCCCCAAATATATTATGGGTGAAGTACACTAAACCCCGGCCCCAATAGTTTTCAAAATGCTTTTTTATGTTGTTTTTTCAGTTCTAATTTATGGGACTTATCAGGGGCTTTCTGCAAAATGCAAAAGTTATTGGGCATTTAGTGCAATTTTAAAAGTTATTGGGATTTTAATTGCAAAACACTGAAAGTTTTTGAGGCTTCGTGTAATTTACCCCATTATTAACATACTAACAAAATTACCGCGGCCAGTAACCGTTGGCTATTAGCGGCAATTAACAAATGCAAATGAAAGTAAACTTCCATTAACTAAAATTGATAAAATGAAAAAAAAAAATAATAATAAAAAAAATAAAAACTTACTGAAGTTAGCTTCCACGTCATCAAAAGACATAAAAATGTTGTCCCCCCTCAAAACAACGTTTCCAGCGACAAACGCCACCATCAACCCATGAATCAGCAGAGCGTAAACCCTAATTAACAAAGCCATTCTGAAAAAAGCAACCAAGACTTCCAACTTTCACTACCAAAACCCTGAACACCTGCAAATTAAATTCAAACAGAATAAGTAATCCTTCGATGAATGGGCCGTTAAGCACTATTGAAAGCAACCTGGAATTAACAAGAACAATGTGGGGATCGAAATGAGAGGGTTTTAATAGAGAGAGGGATTGTGAGGGTTTTGAAAAGTGCTATTTGCATTCTAGTCCATCTAACTTATTTTATTTTACATTAATTTCATGGGATGTTGCTAATTGCTATTGTCACTGCTCCAGTGGACTTATTTAGATAAATGAGTCGATAAACATTTCCTACTTGCTAGATACTAGAAATGTGGTGTTATTCCTTTCAAATAAAGAAATTGTGGTGTTATTAAGAGCTTTTGTATTTAATTAGAAGATAATAAAGTCTTTACCCCAAAATATTAGAGTCATCTACATAGGTTTTTGTACTATTATGTTTAAAATTATATGTTCCATTTAATTAACTATTATCATATATTTTGTAATTGTTCTTAACCAAATTCATTTAAAACCTATCTTTATTTCGTTCATGAAACATACTCTATACTGATCATTTAGTAGAGTTTAATATTGCATTATAATTCTCATTTAGAAAATCAAAAATATTACCTATTGGGGTTAATCCGGTCGCTTTGGAAGATTTCAATATAACTCCCACGGTCTTGGATTTAATTCTGAGCTGGGTTATAAAAAAAAACTCAAAAATATCGAAGGAAGGAAATTAACAAATAAAGAAAGGGGAAAAAAGGAGAATAATGAAGAGATACATGCAAATCAAATTTAAAACTAGGTAATTAGATGATAACAAGAATATACATTACCTTCGAGAATACAAATTAACCAACGTTATAATTAACTTGATATTTTTACTGCAATGTAATGCTATGACATTTAAATTTCAAAGGATTAGGTATAATCATATGTGACACACTTGTAGGGGATCTAGCATGCAATATAGGAAATTTGCGAAGGGTAAATAGGATATAAGAATTAAATATTACAAATTGAAATGTCTTTGAGAAGAATACAGGGAATAAAAGCAACATAAATAAATAAATAAATATTATCTTATCTAATGTGGGTTAAGGGTTATTTTCATTGACCAAAAAAATGTGGGATTAAGGGTTGGATAATTGAGATTCTTGGGTCAGGTAGTACTTCCAATAGTTTTTTTGCTTTGATTTGATTAATAAATGCTCCCTTCACTTAATTAGAGACAATATTAAAAACATGTGATAATAGAAAAATATGACTCAGAGAGTATGAGAAATATATAATAGTACTAGAAAACTAAAAGTCACACACCATATGAGAAATATGTAATAGTAGAAGGAATATTTCGTTGTTAGTGTATGATAAGGTGTCAATATCATCGATTATGATAAGATCGGTGGGTTAAGAAAAATGATATAATTAAGAATTGTTGCATAGATAAAAGTCAAGATGAAGACTTCTACACTAATAATAAACTACGTATGCACAAAATCGTTAAATCATATCATACTCCTTTAAAAGTACGAGTTCGGAAAAATCTTTTCAAGGTCAGTATTACCCTCAACTTTTTAAAATAATACATTGTTATCCTAATCTATTCTAATTATCTTATCTTCTTTGAATTAGTAACTAAATAAATTTATCATATTTAAAATGAGAGTTAACATGTTATTGGATAAAGAAAATATGTTTGATATAATTCAAATCATTTACTTATTTCAGTTCATAGAGAAATCTAAAAAACAAATCCTCCAAGTTTTTTAAATTGTAAAAACACCCCTACAAATTTAAAATTTTATTAAAACATCTTAAAAATTATAAATTTTACTTATTTCAATACAGTGAGAAATCTAAAAAATATATGCTAGCTAGAAACTAAAAGTTTTTTTGACATTGGAGAAAATATCTTGTAAGTTTTAAAACTTACAAAAACACCCCTAAAATTCAAAATTTATTAAAAAACACCTTCAAAATTTCAAACTTATAAGCACACTAAAAACCTACAAATAACACAAACAACCCCAAAAATTTATGGAATTTGTAATAAACACTCTAAACTTTTTACAAATTACAAAATAAAACCCTCAGAATTGTAAATTTATAAAAATCTAATAATTTCTAAGCTAATAGTATATTGAAAATATAGAAATTATAAATATCCCATACATAATTTATAATTTAAAGAAAATACACTGAGAATTTCAAACTTATTAGTAAATTAAAAGCATTGGAATTATAAATAGTCTATAAATAATTTACAATCTATAGAAAAGGCTTAAAAGTTTAAAAATTTATAAAAAGCCCCTAAAATTCATAATTTATAAAAAAATATTGTGAGAATTTCTAACCTATGGACACAAAAATGAATATACGAAATTAATAACAACCCCTAGAAAACTAAAATTTAACAAAAAATATCATACTCACTTTAAAAGTATAGATTTAAGAAAAACCTTTCATGGTCAAAATCATCCATAACCTTTTTAAAAAGAACATAAATGATTGAAAACCTATTAAATTTTAAATTTATAGAAAAAACACCCTTAAAGTTTAGCACGTTGTAAATTACCTCTCCAAAGTTTAAATTTTTTTAATGATTTTTTGTAATTTCTTTATTTCAATATTATGTTTAATAGTTTTGTGTATTTGTAAATTACAAAATTTTAGGGTGTTTTTTATAATTTTTTAAAATTTTTAGGGTGTTTCTTTTGTAGTTTTTTTAATTTTTATTGTGTTTTCAGTGTAATGCATAAACAATTCAATTAATTATGATATTAAATAGTAAGTCTTTCTTAAGATTATTAGGTTATAGTTAAGTGTACAACACATCACTGTTCCTAGATAGTGTAATTTATATATGCAAAAATTTTATATAAGATCCTTTACAAATTGAATGGTCACCCATCTTTTGAAGACTTCAAGCTACTAATAAATAGAGATATTGTACTAGATTAATATGTTTATAACTCACAAATAGTAGACTAGTCTGGATTGAAAGAAACAATGATGATAAGATTATTAGACCATAGTTAAGTGCGCACATCACTATTCCTAGGCAATATAGTTTATATATGTAAATTTTTTTAGATAATCTATATAGTGGTTAAAATTTTTTTGATTTAATGTACTATTTTTTATAAATTATATTTAATGTGATCCACCATATAATTTTGATTGTTGTCATCATAAATTTAATATGTCTGATTGATTGACTATAAACGTATATAGACCATAGATTACTTTACTTTCTCACATGAGCTAATATTTATTATTTAATAATTTAAATTATTATTTTTAAATTTAATATAAAGAGGAGCTCTAATAACATTTATTTATTTATCTACAGCATAATACAATCTCAATTTTTATTTTTGCTAAAGATTTATTTCATAGCTAAGCGTATCAAATTAGTAACTAAAATAATAATTAATTATGCTGAAATTAGGATGATTATAGTTGGTCACGTACTATGACATTTTTATAAAGATATATACATTATTTTTTATAGCTATATGCATTGCCAATGTATAATTTACAAATTACTTCTTAATTTGACACATTAAATTACTTTTTTTTGTAGAAATTTATTCTTTGACTTTTAGACTCTGTAATCACTATATCACCATTTTAGCGTATAAAAGACCTCACTCTAAATGACTTCAAGTTAATGTTTAAGTTGAACTGAAGTACATATTATTGCTACTATGTGTATATATTTTAAAAAAAAATTATATCAACACTTTTTAAGTAGAAAAGAATATTTTAACCTCTGATATTATAAAAACTAAATATAGCTAATTGAGTGATTTACAAAAGAGAATTTGCATAAGAAAAATGTGAATAATAAGATGAAAAAGAAAGGTAATGACATTACCAACAATACTACAAATAGCAAACTATTATGTAAAGTTAACATATTTTGTGGAGCACAACTACTGACTATAAGCATAGAGGTTTTCATATATATACTTTATAATTTATTTAAAAATATCATATATAGTAATATCGCTGTAATAATATCGTTATTAGGAAAAAAAATCTTCATGAATCAATATTTTGTTATCATATATATAAGCTATGCACTCGAAATTATTGTGTCTTTTATAGAGTCAAAAAGTTTGAATACAAGCCTCTAACATGTTGCTCTCACAACAACAAAATCCACTTAGCAAATGTGGATATTCCATATGAGTTATGTATCCTATATACAATACAATTGCCCTATGCAAGTGAGTTATAATAGCATTTTTTATTCACATCGTTTAGGATAAGATTTGATAGGGACCTTGTATCAAAGGGAAAAAAATTATATTTAGAGCACATAGTGAAATATATTATAATCTTCCTGTTCTAATTTCATAAGAAAATAATTCTTCATACTTTCAATTTTACTTCTATGATACAGAAAATGAGCTATAAAATTAAATGAGAATATTATATAATATAAATATGAGTGAAACAATAACTAAAAAGTTAATGTGAATACGAGTCAAACCACAACTAAAAGTTTAATGACATATTGCAAGTAAATTCATATGCAAAATTCTTTTATGAATTGAATGATCACTCATCTTTTGAAGACTTCAAGATACTAATAAATAGAGGTGTTGTATTAAATTAATGTGTTTATAACTCACAAATAGTAGATCATGTGGTCACAGTCTGGGTTGAATGAAATAATGATAATATTTTATTTAAGAGAGAGATTATTGGGTTGATGATCAATCCAAAAAAACTTTATTTTTTTTATTTTTACTCTATTGTTATCAATTTAAATAATCATGATATTCAACCATGTGTATTGCATGTGCATCTCAACTAGTAATAAAAAAATTACGACTGATTTTCTTCGAATATGATATTCTGGATTTTTTGGAATACAGATAATTTAAGGTACCGTTATCGGAAAAAATCTCAAACTTTCCCTTAATTTTATCGAACAAATGCAAAGAAAATTTCTTTGAGCTTCCCATTTCTATGATTTATGCTACGCTTGTTTGAAAATCTTCATAGTAACGAATCCTTATGTCCTATTT